GGTGGGTATTGCACAACATGGTTGCACTTACATACATACAGGCAGTACATTCATGCACATAAAATAAAAAGAATAAATAAAATATTTAAAAATATATATGTGTGTATGTATATGTGTTTCTTATTCCTTAACTATTTTATCCTTTACAGCGCTTATATACAGAAGCCTGGGAGAAGGATAAGACTCAGGTCCATATTATGCCTGATACACCAGAAATTATGTTGGCCAGACAAAACAAAATAAACTATAGTGAGGTAAGACCATCATCTCTTTCATTTCCTTCATCTGGAGACATTGATTTTTACTGATGTAGTAATATCAGAATTATGAATCTAAGTCATTAGTAGACTGAGTAGCTTGGTTTTGTTTTTTATACTCACTATCTTACTTTAAATTTATATATCATTATATTAAAATAGGTAGATAGATAAACAGAAAAATGTCTCTCTATAAGGAAAGAAAAGTTTTACAGTCAACAAATAATTACTAAAATATAATTTTAAATAAAGATAATTATTGCTGGGGCTGGAAGATGGCTTAGTGGGTAAAGTACTTGCTGTGTAAGCATGATGACCTGAGTTTGGATCCTCAGAAACCAGGTAAAGCCAGATGTGGTAGTCCAACTCTATAATTCCAGCGCTCTTAAGGAAAGATGAAAGGTGGGAACAGGAGAATTCCTGAAAGTTCCCAAGCAGCTAGCCTGGTGTTAAACAGCGGTGAGTTAGAGATCTTATCTCAAACAAGGCAGAAGCTAAAGCCTGACACCCGAGGTTGTCCTCTGATCTTCACACGTGCACTATGGCACATGTGTACTGCACTTACATATGCAAACATGCACATGCACACACACACACACACACACATGCACACACACACACACAGATAATATCAAATTAGAACTTGTTTCAAACTTTATTCTGAAATACTTGTTTTCTTCAGTTACCTCATCCATAAAATGGGATTAAAAGTCTTCGCCTTGAAACTTTTTATGATGATGAAATGAGGTAAAATCTAAAGCATGGTGGGTAGTGTAGAAACTGGTATAAGATAGTTGATTAATAAACTTTAGTTCCTTCCTTTTACCCTAAAGTTACCATGAAAATTAGATGTGTTTAATATATTCAAAATAATGAAATTTGCTGACAAGAATCAAAATGAGAGTTTTAAAATTCACTCATTTCAAAATTGCCCAGGGACAATGAAATTCTTTTATGAACTGCTCCAGCTTTGTTCAACTTGTTAGGTAACTTAGAATCTAAGAGAAAAATGCAATTATCTTTACAATCCAAAATTTCTACTGTGTCAATAGTTTCTTACTCAATTGCTCTTGCCCAAGTGAAGGATTCATCTGGCTGATTCATGAATGCTAATTTCTTATGATTTTATGTATTATATTTTCATTTTTTAAAAAGGACACTTATCTTTGGTTTAATAACAGTGGAAAATTTAAGCATTCATTCTCAAGACTCGAAGTTTATTATTTTATCCATATTAAATGCATACTCATTGAAAAAATAAATAAAAATTTTAAAATACTCATAATAATGTAGTCTGAAAGATAAGGTACATTTATCTCACACAGCCAAGACAAATCAAGTGAAACAGATGTGATTTTCCTTCCTCCAGCATCACAGAACAGACCCTAGGACAGGACTCGTCAGGATACCCAACTGGCCTGGCTCAGTCACTGTAGAGTGGGCTTCTTGGTGGGACCAGCTTCTCCCTAGAGACTTCCTGGACCTCAGGCAGATGCCTCAGCTTCTGTCCCAGAGTGTACAGGAACTCTTACTCCTGTGTATCTGAGGAGAACTTAAGTAGATTTTCCTTTCAGATTTCTAAGAGACTGCTGGGTTGTTTTTTTTTTTTTCATTATTATTCTAAAATTTTCAACTGGATTTACTTTCTTCTTAAAAAATGTTTTTTATTTATTTGTTTTTATTTTACATGTATGAGTGTTTTGCCTGAATGTATGTAAGTGCACCATGTGCATGTAATGTCCGTGGAGGTCAGAAGAGGGTGTTGGATCCCCTGGAACTAGGGTTCTACAGATGGTTGTTAGTCTCCATGTGTGTACTGGGAACCGAACGTGGGTCATCTGTAAGAGTAGCTAGTACCACTGAGCCATCTCTCCAGCCCCTGGATTTACTTTCTTTAAAATTCTTTAAAATGGCAAGACTAGGGACTGGAGAGATGGCTCAGCAGTTAAGAACACTGGCTGTTCTAGTAGAAGACCCAGGTTTGAAGCCCAGCACCCACATGGCAGCTAACAACTGTCTGTAGCTCCAGCTCCAGGGATCCGACAGCCTCTTCTGACCTCCGTGGGCATTGCATGACAGGGGTGCACTTACCTACATGCAGGCAATACATGCATACACATAAAATAAAATAAATAAAATAAAATAAATACTTTTTTTAAAATGGCAAGACTAATTCCCTAACTCCCTGTTTTCCGAAGATGAGATTTCAGAATAACCGTCACAGAGGTACCTTCATCATCATGGCACCTTCATTCCATAGTTCACTCCATGAAAATAAATGAAACAAACACACCTTTTTTCCCCCTCTTTAATTCTCATGTACCTACCTATTCTAGTTCTCTTGCATAAGTTATCTACTAAAACAAGCTTTAAAATATAGCCTTGAAGATAATGAAAATGTTCTCTTCTTCAAATGCTGTGTCCCTTTCAAATGCTGGATAATTTAAAGAAATCTGACCTGAAGCAATGAGATGATTCCAGCACATTTTCCCATTTGTACTCTAAAGACATACCTTAGCATTTATTCTTGAATCAATGGAGTATTTGATTCTTTAGTTATAAACCAAACATGTAGGAGTTGAAAAGTTGTCTCAGTGGTTAAGAGCATGCACGGTTCTTATAGCGAACCCAAGTCCAGTTCCCAGCATCCAAGTAGGACTGCTTACAACTGCCTGCAGCTCCAGCTCCAGGGGAATCTGACACCTCTAGTTTCTGTGGATATCTGCATTCACGTGTACACACCCATGCACAGACAAGCACACAATTAAAAATAAATATTTTTTTAATTGAAGCATAGACTTTTTAAAGAAAAGCAAACTACATTTTACCTCAAAGACGTTAAATTTATTCTTATTCTTACTTTTGTTTTTCCTTGTAAAATCTCATCTTAAAAAGAATGTGAGAGGGGCTGGGCATGGTAGCCCATGCATTTAATTCCCACACTCCAGAGGCAGAGGCAAGCAGATCTGAGAGGCCAGCTTGGTCTACATAGCAAGTTCCAGGTCAACTGGAGTACAAGGACACCCTGTCTTAAAGACAAAAAAGGAAGGAAAAGAAGAAAAAAAAAAGAATATGGATGGAGAGCTAGAGAGATGGCTTAGCAGTTGAGAACACTGGGTACTCTTACAGAGGACCTGGGTTCTGTTCCCAGGATCCACATGCCTCTCTAACTCCAGTTTCAGGAAATCTTATGCCTTCTCTTAGCCTCCGAGGGCATTGCATGCACATGGTACACTTATGTACATGCCGGCAAAACACTTATACACATAAAATGAAAATCAGTAAATTTTCAGAAGACTATGAAGTGACAGCTGGCATGGTGGCACATACCTTTAATCCCAGCAGAGACTGAGACAGGTGGAGCCCTGTGAGTTCCAGGCCAGCCTGGTCTACATAGTGAGTTTCAGGCCAGTCAGGACTACATAGTGAGACCCTGTTTTTTAAAAAAGACTGGTGTGGTGGCACACATCTTTAATCCCAGTACTCAAGGGGCAGAGACAAGCAGATCTCTGTGAGACCAAGGCCAGTCTGGTCTACAAAGTGAGCTCCAGACCAGCTGGAGCTATATAGGGAGACCCTGTCTCAAAAAGAAAAAAAGGAAAAGAAAAAGAAAGAAAGAACTATAACTCACATAATAAACATATAATATCTAGGAGTCAGAAGTAATTTAAATATTAATGTATCTGTATCATTTAAAATACAGATGTAAACTAAGTACAGATGTTCTTAGTTCAATCTAATATGGTTAGACTGGATATTCAGTGTGGTATAATACTGAAAAAAATTAGCTTTAAATTATTTCTGCTATACTTTTAAAGAATTTTCTTTATATTTAAGATTTTTGTCTTTATGCAGCCTCAACAGTAAAATAGACACTGACCAATACCAGGCAGAAAGAAAGCTAAATTCCTAAATATTGCAGTACATTGTTTCTCCCTTAAAATTGTAAGTGATTTCCAAAACTTTTTGTAGAACTGTCCAGTGGTACTAATAAGACTATCTGCTTTAAATGACATAATACATCTAATAGAAGCAGAAAAAAATTGCAGTTTAGATAATGGAGTTGAACTGAGTCCCTGTCTCTGCAACATGTATAGAGATGAGCTGCCTTCACACCTCAGTATTACACAGGCTTTCTGTGGCGTATGGATGTTTTAAGCCAATCAGCTGACATAACTTGAACTTCCCTGCATACTCTACAGGAGAAGGCCCTGACCTTATAGGATGTTCTATGTCCTCTTCACAGTCACTCTTCTTTCACTTCTAAATAAGAAAGCTACAGTTCAAAGGCAAGAAGAGAGACTGTACCAAAAATGTGACTTGCGTTCCTTACTTGAATTCTGAAATATATATCAGAATATATATATATGATATTATTGAGACAACTGGTAAATTTTGAATAATTATTGTATATTAGATAACATCTTGTCAATAATAACATAAATTTGGAGCATTCAAAAAACACTGGGATTGCTTAAAACTTTATCCATAGGAAATATGTGGTAAAGAATCTAGGCATGAAGTTCATGATGTCTATAATTGATTCAACAATTGAAAAAGAGAAAAAGAAATATATACAGATACATTAATGAGAGAAAGAAAATGCAGAATGTGAATGAATTGGCTGGCTGGGTGGTCAGTGCACCACTCTTACAATCTTTCTATACGTATGAAAAAATTTCAGAATAAGGAAAACATTCATTCTAAAATATCAAAATATCCATTAAAATATTTGCCCAAGCATGATTATATAAGGATTTTAATTTTAAAAAGAAAAAAAAAAGCATACCTGCTCCAGTAGTCAGCACAATGTGTGCCTGAGACCATTAAAACTCTGCCAGACAGGCCCTTTAATTCAATAGTACCCATCAAAATCGTTTTCAATAAAGGCACAAGTTCCTGTAAGTAACATAAATCTCATTAAGAGATCTAATAATAAAAGCTAATTTATGGGGACTGGAGAGATGGCTCAGCGGATAAGAATACTGACTGTTCTTGCAGAAGACCTGGGTTCGAATTCCAGCACCTACATGGCAGCTAACAACTGTCTATAACTCCAGTTCCAGGGGATCCAATGGCCTCTTCTGTCCTCTGTGGGCATTGAACAACACAGGTGCACTTACCTACATGCAGGCAATACACACACATAAAATAAAAATAAATAAACCAAAACCAATTTTTTTTTAAAAAGCTAGACTACTAATACTTCTGACTACTAATATTATCAGTTTTTAAATTTTATATATTTTCAAAAGGATTCAGAATTGGCCAAAATTCTTTTGAACAACACCAACAACAACAAAAATCAAGGTTCACAAACAAAAACAAACAACAACAACAAAAATCTACTCTTCTACAACAGAAACCAAACTGTGGTGGTGTGGTGGTGTTTTCTCAATTCAAAGGGAAAAAAGTAGATTCATTTTGTGTTTTGACTGATAAGTCTTGGTCCCTGCTCTCTCCATGTCTGCTAACAATTTCTAGCAGTTGAGACCAATTTGTAGGCAGCACTTAAATGTTAGCAGCGACGTGGAGAAGCCTCAGTGCATCCTGAACTGTAGCACAGTTCTGACTATGGACATATGCTCACCGTCATTCTGTATTGCTACAAGATGATGCTGTGGTGACATTGTTCCTATTTCGAATTTAGAGCTAAATCATACTTCTCGGTTGTTTCATTTGAAACACATTTGAGAGCTGTTGATTTAGTGTCTAAAATCTATAAGAATTTAGTTATGATGTTAAAATCTGCTGAATGCAAAAATTTCCATCTAACTTAATATCTTGGAAAAATAGAAAGTTGTTTTTTTTTTTTTTCAAATCAAGGCTATATAGTTCTGTATCCAAGGGTTGTCTTCTTTCGACCAAAAAAAAAAAAAAAAAAAGCTTTTAGAATGAAAATGAGTTCTGTATTAAAAGCTGTTACTTCTTTCCCCAGAACTTCTATCGGCAAGCCATGGAAGAAGCCAAGAAGGAAGGCTACGACTTGAGGAGCGATGCCATTCCCATCGTGGCGGCCAAGGCCTCCCGGGACATCGCCAGTGATGTAAGAGCAGTTAGAACCCCAACACTATTACCAGCATCCAGCATAGTGAATCACATTTCTAGAATACAGTAGGAAGTCTCCTTGATCATTATCCAGCTTACCACCTGCTATCACACAGGCAAATAGAGACCTGAGACAGTGATTAATTTTCCCAAGAGCACAGGCCTCCCAAGAGTGTCAGTCTACAGAGAGCAGTTCCTTGGATGTCTCTTGTCTGTTTAATAAGTAGATACCTCACAGTCAGATGGACTGTGTTGAGCTCCTGAAACCTCCTGAGTTCTCCTTGGAACACTCTCTTAAGTGAGTTTGCCCACACGTGAAGGAGGGTATAGGATAACAAAAAGATTAAAAGTCCTCTCACTGCCAGGTTCACAGAACCATCATTTCTGTACTCTAAAAATGAAGATAAAGATTCCCGGACATCTTTAAAGTTATTCAAAAGTAGAGACACTGTCTATTTTCTTGCTTTTTAAAAAGTTTTTTAGTATGGTAAGAAAAGATAAAGTTTGCCATGTGGCCATTTTTTTTAAATTATTTAATAACCACATGATTAGAAGCATTTCATTACAGATTTCTGTACATGAAGATGAAGATTCCCGGACATCTTTAAAGTTATTCAAAAGTAGAGACACTGTCTATTTTCTTGCTTTTTAAAAAGTTTTTTAGTATGGTAAGAAAAGATAAAGTTTGCCATGTGGCCTGTGGCCA